ATGATTGCGAAGAATAGTACAGTTAGCGTGGTTGTCGCAGGTAAGCAAGACTTTTTTTCGAAGAAGTTTTTTTTGTATTTAGATTCTACTCTTTTGTATAGGTGGAAACGGTGGTGGAAATGGCTTGAATCAGCTTTACCATTCAAATAGTGTTTACTTTGATTATTTATATACAAATTCATTGTATGTTACTGACACTGATAATAATCGTGTACTCAAATTTCCATCAGGTTCCACGAGTTTAACCAATGGAACAATTGTTGCGGGCAGTAGTTCAAGTGGAAGTGGATCGAATCAGTTGAGTAATCCAAGAGCTTCACTAGTAGATATGAATGGAATTGTCTATGTATCTGATGGAGGTGAGAGAAAGTGTAAAAACAGAATAGTACAGAAAATTAAATCTTGTTTTTTTCTTATTTGATATACTAGGTAACAATAGAATTCAACGTTGGCTACCAGGTGCGAGTAGTGGTGATACACTTGTTGGTGGAGTATCAGGAACAGCATCAAATCAACTCACCTTCACGGAATCAATCTTATTTAATGAGAATTATCAATTATTGGTTGTTGATAGAGGAAATAATCGAATTCAAATTTTTAATATAACAGCATATTAGTGTATCTGAATTTATTAATATCATTAACTGCGAAATATTAAATAAAATGCTTACTTCACTTAATAATCGTATAATCTTAGAGAGAACCAGTCTTGTCTTATTAATGCAAAAAAAAATAAACGATATGACTTATTAGATCTGTTCTTCTTGATTAAAATAATTTATTTTGAAGGTAATAAATTCAACCGATAACTCCAATTACACACACTCATAATGTGAAACATGATCTATAAATATGATAGATTATCTGGATATTCCCACAGATTATATCATAGAAAAAGAAAAAAAACATATCTTGGATAATTCCCCTTGGAATGTTGTAAGGAATATTTCATAACATGACGAATAGCATAAAATAAAACTTTTATGACTAAAAGTAAGGTTCATGTTGAAATGAAAATTGATATTTATCACAGCAACGTTTTATAACATCCGACATGTTTGCATTACCGGTAAAAAATACATTTGTAGACAAATGTTTAGATTTAAATTTAGTAAAAAGTGAATCCCATTGTGGTCGTCCAAGATGTATTGGCGTTCTCAGTTGTGTATGCATGTCTCTATCTTTCACAACTTCATACATGCTTGCAACAAGATTATAAGGAAGATTTGCTAATGTAGCTTCTTCATTTCGAGGTAACAAAGTATTATAAAGATGTATATCAAGATATTTTGATTGTTGTTGGTTTCCACTAGAATTTAATGAGTTTAGATAGGGTTCTTGTTCAACTTCAAATTCATCGAGAATTTTACGAAACCATGAAAAATTTTCAACACCACGGCTAACCCAAATAAAATCGACTTTTTTCAGTTGTCGGATTTGTGATGAAGGTTGCATATAGTTTACTGCATTACAATGAGAACAAATACAACGTTGTTCTCTTAATTGATGAACTAAGGTTTCTAAAGCACTTATATAAGGGGTGATTCCTATACCAGCACCTATTAAAACAACATGTTCACAATCAAATATATATGATGTACAAGTACTAAAAGGTCCTTCAACACAAATAAAAGCATCTTTGTCATCCTTTGTAAAAGTAATTTCATTTGATGATATGACATTTGTTGTATTAGTTATAACTTCTGTCAGATGACCATCATCATCACCACTATGTGTTAATTTTGTCTTAAAGTGTTCATATACTTTTTTTGTCCAATTATATTTCTTCATTATAGTTACGCGTAAAACATCTGAGCGTTCTGGACTACTAGAAATTGTAAATGGATGCCACTCATTGTTTACTAAAATACAATCATATTTTTTTTTATTACACAAAAAAGCACGAGTACTAACTTATATTAGGTAAACAAATATTGATATATTCACCAGTATGAAAGTTGAAATTTTTTGGTCTTTCAATAATTAATGTTAAAACATTTTTATCTTCAATTCTTGCAGAAATTAAACGTGTTCGACCATAGGTTGGTAAATAACGTTTTAATAAATAGATTTTCTCTAAAATATATAAAGTCATAGGTACCAAAGTCCATTTCCAAAAGTCTCTTGAATGAACTATAAGCAAAAGGAATAGTATCCAAAATAAGCTATGTGTATAATTATATAATTTATAAAAACCAGGTCGTTGTCGAATGCATTGTAATGAACAGATAAACATGACTATAAGTATTATAAAAAGAATATCACCTGTAATTGTAGCTGAATCAGCTACCCAACCAAGCTGTGCCGCTGTTGTAAATATTGATTTAAGAAATGACCAATCTATTCAAATAAAACAATTGTAACTATCGAAAGTAAATTATTCAAATACTAACCTTGAGTATGCGTAGCAAAGTGAATAGTATGACCACCTGTATGCATCATAGATGATATGAATAATACTGTCCCTACTACACGATGAGCATCGATATGACTATCTACAGGAATGTATAAACGAAGATAATAAGTTCGTCGTATAATCGTCATTGTTTGTTTAAGCATAAGAGTAATTGCAAGAGCAAAATTAAAATTAATTAATATTCCGCCAATTCGAGCAAAAATCTGCCATACAGTGTTGTTTTCCATAAAAACAGCGCGTTGAATAATTACATAAGTAATTAATGACATTGTAATCAAAATATATAACAGAAGAATAACAGTATAACTTTTATTATTTTTCATATATATCCAGTAACGTTCATACCAACTTGTTTTATCATCTTCGTTATTTCGATTAGATATGCTGATTAAATCAAGACATTTGAATAAACGTGGATTTTTTTCGAGGATTTGGTAAAATTTATCAAAATTTAATACTTGTTCTTGAGAATCATCGTTATTCAAGGAAAAACCTTCTAAAAGTATTTCACCGACTTCATCATACCGTTTATCATTGGAAAAAGTAGATTCAAGAAAATTTTCCTTATAAAATAAATGAATCTCATCAGTTGAAATTTCGTTATCTTCATTAAAGTCCAATAATTTGAAAAGTATCAAGCCTTTTATTGTCATTGGTGACTTCCAAAGTATATATGCGATGCGAATGATATCCGAACCTAATATTGCACCTTGTGTAAATGATTTCTTCAACTTGAACGCAACTAATATTCTTCGACCTATATGAAAAAATTGCGTTAATGGAATATAGAAGCGAAAAAATATACCAATAGTTGTTGTAATTTTCAAACGATCACAAAATCCAGTAAAAGTAAATGTTTGCGTACTTATATCATTTCCGAAGTACTTACGTAAATATTGCTGATCTTCTTCGGATATCGGGTCGTTCAAAAATGTAGTGCATTGTTGTACAATTATTTCACTAAATGTATGACTCAATTGATCAATTATTCTATAAAAACTGAAACTATAAAATAAAATAAAATAATTTACATATATTTACTCAGTAAATGACGATATTTTTGGAACATCTGTTGGTGGTAATGGGCTAACTATATTTTTCTTTTTTATCGGTAAAATTGAATGAGAAGCGCAAGTAGATTGATGTGGTAAATCCTTCGTTACAGCAATTTCAGGTTCGTCATTATTTCTAAAAATAGAAAAAGTTTTGAAATGTATTGAAGAATGGTTGTACCACAAAGTATGCTAGACAAGATTTATTTTCAATTTATTTTGCGGTATCAATGACACATTCGATTTTGAATTGTTTATTTAGTGGCTATTGTGAAAAAATTTTCCTTTAAATTATTCTAATTTGAGTCTAAATTTTGGATGCCTCGCCATTTACTAGAATGTAACGAGTTCAGAAGACGTTTCTTTTCGTCTCGCGTTTGAGATATGTGATGCTGATAACCCAGATCAAACGACTTCAATCGGATCTTGTCTTTCCGAAATCTTGAGGGTGTGGGTGTGATATAAATATGATACACACATTCACACTCACCCATCGCTGAAACTGATGATAAATGTATAATTTCAATAGTTCAGAAAATGTACATGTAAATGTATAACAAAGCATATAAAACTGTTTGAAACATTCCATGAGCTGGATTAGAAGTAACGTTAGATTTATCTACATATCCGACGACGTTCAGCTTGCTCTTCTACTGATTTAATAACATATATATTTCGAGAACTTAGTTTTAGGATACTATCGGCCAGGATTATTCAAGTACAGGGATAGATATCTATAGCTTTCCTAGCCAGTGATAGTCGTTTGCAAGAAACAAAGGTTTAATGTTACTTACTTGATCTGGATCGTCTGTGTGAGCATCTTGTTTTTTTTTACGAGACAAATAAAGTCAATTTTAATTCCTTTTTAGTTAGAATTTATAGTTTTTTTTTTTACAATCTTGGCAAAAACCAAGAAAGCTCTATTTTTAATCCTAGTATTTCACAACTTACAGTCATCATTATGGATATGTCAGAAATAAATTAGACTCGTTATGAACAATTTCTTGGTTACAGCTGAATGTTGGAAATTGAGAAACTATTATTTTTAATCATGGTATTGTCACGGAGTGAGCATGATTCACGCATTGATCTCTCCATCTCATGATGTCATCCTCTTGCATTATCATGTGACGTCATCGTCTAGTCGCATCTTCATTTCTTCATCGTGTAATTTCATCCTCTTTTCTCAATGTTTTCCTTTGATGTCCTGGATCTTCCATCGTCTCTGTATATGACTTTTGATTAAAAGATATCGGTATCGGCAGTTATCTTCCACCGATCACCAGAGTTAGTCACTTGTTGGGTTTTCATCCTTTCACAGGTATTTTACGTTTTACGATCATGGTCATGGATTTGTAGGAAATTAATTAGACTCATTACAACTGAAAGTTGGAAATTCAAAAACTGTTCTTTTTAATCATGTCGTATTATCTATGTTAGCAGGCTTCTACTTAGAAAGTATGGTGTGTGGGCGTTATAGTGTCATTGAGATACATCTTTTTTTCCTGTCTTTTCTTCTTCTTCTCTGTCTCTTTTATTTCTCACTTCTCGTATAGATAGGATTTTTCCTTTCTTTTTTTCATCTGCTTGTATTTTTCAAGCGCTCTCTTCTGATAATGAATAAAGCAGACATTTTAATTTTGATCCGTGAGGGCTGGTAAAATTTTGGTCTTTAACCTCATCGCCGAAAAACACTTCGTCGAAATGCAGATCGCCGACTTTCGGCGATCTGCATTTCAATAATCTGTAACTTCGGCGATATATATTTCGACAGTCTATCATTTCCAGAATTTCTCTTTCGACGAAGTGCTAGTCGGCGATATTGCTTTTCGCTAATCACATATCCAACACAACAACTCGCTATTCATGCTGGCGCATAATACTACGAATTTGATGTAATATATAAATATATGTATATATATTCAAAGATGAAGGAACGATAAAGACGAGAAAGAATTGTCGAGGAAGTGACAACTAGTGAGATCGAACTTTAAAAAAATTCGGCGATCTCTATTTCGATGATCAATAGATCGATAATGTGTATTTCGATAACGTTCATTTCGGTAATCTTTCTTTTCGATGATGTTTGAATTTGAGCGAGTTTCGACGATCTGCGTCTTCGGTGATGTTGTTTTCGGCGATGAGGTACATAATCAAAATTTTCACCAACAGAATTATGTGAGATAACATATAGTCTCATCAGTTCAAAATCAAAATTCTTAGCAGAAATATACTTCTCGCGAGTATACACCTTCCTTCACACCCTCAATGCGATACTCACCAACACATGTATTTCTTGCAATCAAACAAAATTTCACCATAATTCTGTTGGAAAAACATATCCATGATGAAAGTTCTGAATCAAATCTACTAACCATGCATATATTCTAATATAAAAAATCATAACAACACAAATTAGATGATTAATTGTTGTTTCTAGGTAACATGTTTGTTAACTAATGTTAGTGTATGTTATAAAGAATTACTCATTTTTTTATTACTTTTCAAATAAATAAGAGTCATATTATTTACCCAACATCATTTTTATCTTATCAATGTCATATAAGATCTTACTTTTGCTGGTCAAAATAATTCAATATGTCTACTTTAATTTTTCTACTCTGTTTAATACCTAATGTTATTTCTCAAATCATTCCGAGTCATCTTAATTCGGCAAGTAATCAATTGCGTCAACAAAAACATTACACATCTATATCAATGGACAACTATGTCGAATACAATATTACACCTGACCAAATGCTTGAAAGAATATCTTCGTCATTTTCCAGTAATACAACAAATGTATGTGAACAAGATTTTGAAATAATTCTTCAAGGAGTATTAAAACGTGATATGTGGGCGATGAAAATATTCGATGCATGGGGTAAACCATTACCATCTGGTATACTTTCAGGACATGTTCATTGGATGGGTAACTATGATGAATGTTTACAACAGATGTATTTACCTACGAATAAATCATTTGTATCACAACCAATTAATACACAATATTGTAAGTATAGTTATTTAATATTGAATTGTAAAATATAGTAGAGAATCTAATTAGGTACACTTTTACCAAAACCACCTCTTAGTATTACACTTGGTCTTTGTGTTCCATCATCATGCAATCAAAAATCGGTTGCTTCTTTAATCGAGATATTATTCAAAAACAGTAGTATCACAGAAAATGATCTCATATGCTCAAATGATCCTCCATATGGTCAAAAAGGTTTAGCTCGTGGTGCAATAATAACATGTATTATTCTCTCACTATTGGTTTTAATCGTTTTATCAGGGACAATTGTTGATATTATTCTTAGTTTACAACATCAATCAATTGATAATAATATAACTTCACATATTAATGGATATAATCATTTCTCAGATACTGAAATATCTGAATTTAAATTGATTCAAGTACCACAAAATTCAACATCTCGTATAATATTTTTAGCTGAATTTTCAGCGATAAGAACATTACGTCGAATATTTACAATGAAAATAAAAAATAATGATGATTCATTTCTATTTATTAATGGTATTCGAGTATTATCTTTATGTTGGGTAATTATTGGTCATTCAATTGCATTTGGTTTATCTTATACAAATAATATTGTCGATGTTATTGTTTGGACTCGTAATATAGCTTTTCAATTAATTATAAATGCAACTCTTAGTGTTGATACATTTTTTGTATTAAGTGGATTTTTAACAGCAGTTTTATTCGTTCGACAAATTCAAAAAGAGAAAAAACTTTCATTTCGTCTTCTTATTCTTTATTATATACATCGATATATTCGATTAACACCAGCATTACTACTAATGATATTAGTTAGCATTAATTTAACACCGTATTTTGGTCAAGGACCAGTCTATCCAACTCAAAAAGGATTTGAATCAGATGATTGTCGTTATGTACATTGGTGGACATCTATTCTTTATATTGGTAATTTTATTAATTCACATGAAATGTGTTTGGGTATAACATGGTATCTTCATAATGATATGCAATTTCATTGGATTGCACCATTAGCTCTAATTCCATTTGTACTTGGACGAAAATCAATATCTTTTATAATTGCAACTCTTTTTGTTCTTATTGGAATTGGATCCATTTTAGGTATTCTTCTTTATTATCCAAACATGTCAGTTGATGTTTTAGAAGCATTTGTTGATAAAGTATAAATTATTTCATATTTAAATTCTATGAATATATATATGTTTATTTATTCTATAGCCTGGTCCTACTTTTTATAAAAATATTTACATTACACCTTGGTGTCGTATATCTGCATATGCAGTTGGTCTTATAACTGGTTTTATTGTGATCAATGTTGGACGAGAATACCGTCTTAATAAAACGGCTAAAATCTTTGGAACTATATTAATTATTATTCTTACTATAATTTGTTTATTTGCAACTTATCCAGATTATATTCTTGCATCAGGACTTAATCGATCAATAGTCGTTGCATATCAATCACTTTCAAGAACATTTTGGGCTATTGTTATTGGATGGATTCTATTTTTATGTAGTACGCATCAAGGAGGAATAGTGAATAAGTTTCTTTCATGGCCTATATGGGCTCCTTTAGCTCGACTTAATTATTCTTGTTATTTAGTACATTCTACTGTTCTTCATACTATGATATATAGTCAAAGAATGCCTTTCTTTTATCAAGCACATCTTGTTGTGAATAATTTTATTTCTCAAATCTTTTTTAGTTATGTAGCAGCTATTTTTGTTACAATTTTTTTCGAAACTCCTTTTTTTCAGTTAGAAAAGAAATTATTCAAACGTTAAAAGATATGTCTTTTTTTAGTATGAAATAAAGCATCAATTTACTAGCGAACTCTATCGTCTGCATGCATTTGTTTGATGTTTGTTGAGGTCCGTTACCTGACATTCTTTAGTCTGAAATGATTTTCAACGTTTACTTCATAAATAGTATTGTAATTTGATTCTTCTATTGGTTGATATTTCTTCTTTTTTGTTGTTGTTGTTATTGTTGTGATTGACAGGAGTATTGCTTCGCTCGTCGAACGGTCTTCTTGATCAACATCAATCATCATCAAGTGTTTACAATTACAAAACACTCAATAAAATGGTAACGAGATCAACAAGTGGTAGAATATTAAATCATTCATCAATAAAATCAAATAATAAATCAAATAAAAATAACAAACTATTAAGAAAATCATTAATTGAACAGACATCACATTCTCCTTCAA